TTTAGTTTCTACTCATTCAGCTGCTACTCTGCTTTGAGGTACTAAATTAACTTTGAGCTATTGTGCAAGAAAGGAGGAAGTAGGCAGGCTCCCCTGCGGTGTGACAGTGGGAAAGGTCTGAAACTACATGAAAGTGCAACTTCTGCTGTTTGTAAGACAGACTTTTTCTTCATATTATGTATTAAATATTTAAGATGGTTAGTTGGTAGGTGCACATTATCTTCAATGACATGAAACGGTACTGCTTGTACAATCTGGCCCTGAGACTGTCAGCACTGAAAAATCTCATTGTGACAGAGCTGCAACAGTCAGAAGATGCATTTCCTTTTCCCCACTTGACTCTCAGAAGTCTGATCTTTGGTAAATGTCAAGTGGGGGTTTAATTCTGAGTTTCCTGGCTCTCACGTACCTTCTATTTTAACCAGCTTCAGACATGACTGCTGGTATAGTTTTATCATCTGCTAACAATAAGATGCTGATAAAAGGGAGTGTAGTACACACTTAGAGACTTGCTCTAGATACTACAGGCAGACTTTATCTTTTTGCTGATAAAGCAGTTCATAAGGAATAAAGATTAAAATGTGTAGACTACAATGGTGGGGCTGCCAGCACTGGAGAACCTCCTCATTCTGGTGAGGGAGAGGAGGGAAACGAAGTTCAAAGATTTGGCTGTCCACCCAGTATGACAAATAGAAACTGGTAAGCTGTGTATGTTTGTTAATAAGCACTAAAGCTTCCTTGGCAGTTCCATTTGCTGGAGCTCCTTGCTTTTCCAGGAGCCAGTGGTGTTCCCCACTGCCAGAGCTTTTCTAGTGGCAGACTTGGCATGATCCAGTGGGGTGAAATCACAGAGATGGCTGTTTTCTGGATGCTGTAATATTGCATGTGCTCCCAGAGCTAAATAAAACAGATCTGCTGATGTTTTGCATTCCATAGCTCAGCTCCAGCTCCAATTCCTGCAAGGAAACGAAGGGCTGAGGTGCTGCCTTCCAGGTTACACAACTCCTCGAGAGGGATGGGTAGTTCTTGGGGACAGATATGATTGGCAAGAGGTGGTCTAGCACTAGAGCCGAGTCCAGGGTTAGTTACAGCTCAGGATGTAGCTAGATTTACATCTTCACTTGTGCAATGACCACAAATGCCCAGGCCTGGCTCGAGAGTCACTGTAAGGGCGAGGCAGAATCACTGCTGTGCCTGAAGCACAGATCCAAAGGCTCTCCCTGCGGAGACCTTTCCCAGCTCGATCCAGCTCACCTGCGAGAAAAACAAAACCCTCTTGGCTTCAAATCGATTTTCCTCCTTTCAGTGGCTTCCTCCTAAACACACCCATTTGCCCTCAGTAACTCTGAAGTCCAAAAGCTCTCGGAAACAACTCCCAGCTCCTTGCCAGTGTGTCTCACGGGATGCGTGCCGAGGAGCCCAGCCGGCTCTCCCCTGGCAGCTTTCCTGTCCGGACGGCGGCAGGGCGGCTCCTTGCCCTCTGCCCTGCATGTCTGGCTGTGCCGTGCACACACGCTGCTCGCTGGAGAATCCACGGCTGCCCGCAGCCCCGGTGAAGAGCCAGGATGTCTGTGTCGGTGCCCCGTCCATGTCCTCGCCAGCACGCCTGTGGTGCCTGTGGCAGCACACACCGCTGGTGCCGAAGCGATGGGGCGCCCCAAACTTGAGTGTGGTTTGTGTCCCGCTGCTCAGCAGGGCTTGCGAAGCTTCCACTCCGCCGCCTGCTGAAACTCCTCGGCGCACATCTCCTCCACGAGCTCCCTAAGCCCTCGGAGGAAGGCTGGCAGCTTATGTGGGCGTCGTGTGGGTTTTTCCTCAGCCCGCGCTGTGGTGTTTGCACGCTGCAGCCCCACGCTCAGCCCCGCTCAGGGTCCCGCAGGCTGCACCTTTGTAAGGCGGCGGTGTACAGCGACCGAGCGCCGTGCCAGGCACGGGACAGCGCCAAAACCTCTCCCCTCTGAATCCAGAGCGACAAACCCGAGCTGAACGTGTTTTGAGGAAAACCTGGCTGGAAACATTTTGAAATCCACCCGCCCCCTTGCCAGCCGCAGCCCCGCGGGGCGGGCCGGG